CAGATGCCAGTCATTGTGACATCCTTTCGGCATTTCCCCCTTTCTTTTAAATTCTTCCAAACTATGACAACACACAAATATGTCTGCCTCAGCAGTGTTTTTTCCTCCTGTTGTTCCATCTTTTTTTCCTCTATCTTCGAGGTTTCCGCTGGAGCTCTGATGTAAAATTCCTCGACACTTGCAGGAGTTTCCATCCTTTGTGATTGTGCTCCTTCCTGTTTTTAACGCGGCCTTTCAGTCGGCCTTCTGCTTCGGCTGGACTGGAAACCATTTAAGGTTAACGGTGTGTAAAAGTGATTCATTCACTGACACAGAAACTTCTGTTGTGGAATGTGCTGTCATGTCGTCACACGGTCCAGAAAATCCAACGAGCATCTGGAAGCTGAGAAAACACAGGAGCATCTACACTCACAAGTTTACATATTTAGACAAATAACAATAATATTCAAATAAAAAACTGACATGGGATTTGAACTTTGCACCGACTGTCATTGACTTTGATAAGCACACCTGTACAAATAAAAGAATTCAAATGACTCTGGAACTGAGAGCTGCACTAATTAAACTTTGTGTATGATCTATGAGAAAAACATAAATCAAGGTGTGCCATTGGTAGAAATATCACCAAACCCTGCAGTTCTGCTCAGCTCTGAAAGACATCTTTCAGTTTGGTGTTTCGATTTCGGGGCCACAGCTTTAATGGTACGCTTCACTCTCGCTGCTCTCATCAGCTGACAGTGAAAACGTTCTGTCAAACCAGCCAGCACCAAAGGGTGGTGCTGAATGCTGATGTCGCCCCGATCTGCTGGATATATACCATAACAAGGTAACAGTTTCCTAACATAAAACTAATATAACTTAGGTACTATTCACACAGGATTTGTATTACCTGGAATTTACTGACGTTACAGCCCGGATATGATGTCTAATCAGTGGATAACGGGCCGTCAGGGCGTTTGTATTAAGCCTTACCTCATGCTACTACGGATGTCATCCATCTCAGTGTCCTCTGAAATTTCCCTCTTCATGTTGACCTGATTTTAACCATTTCTGCAAACAGTCCGTAGGCCTGTTATGTATAGGCCTACTCCTGCATTTGCACCTAAAATGCTGTCAGTAACTTCCACTGCAGCCTCCATAATTCAAGAGGGAGAAAGAGGTGCACAATAAAAACAGCAACAACTAAAATACCCCCCGGTCACTAGCATAGGGACTATCACAGGACGTCGGTGTTTATATGGTAGGTCATTTGGAATTTTTATTTTACAAATTACAGACATTTGCACGGGATTAAGATCACAGACAATCTCCGCAATTATTACAAATCACCACTGGTCCCAAGACAATCCTAATCCTGTGTGAACAGGGCTTTAGAGCTGTAAACTGCAGGGACCAAAATAAAGAAAAAAAAAAAGATTAAATCACAAAGGCACAATTAATATACAACAAAGACAGGCACTGAATTTTAACTGAGAACACAGGCTTGGATCTTCATTTTTAAACAGCCAGACCATTCACTAGTGCTGACACGATGCTCGGGAATGGTCTGACTGCGCCTCATCGTTATTCTTCTATGGGCTAAGAGAAATCCTGCAGATGTGCTCTGGCATATATATGATGTAAATCGTGATAGGGAACTGTCTGGGTGGAAAATTTGCATGTAGGGAGGGTAGAACTGCCTTTAAAACAGATAATGTACTTTACTACTACTCCTCCACAAGGAAGTAGTGTTCAATAATAAATCCATCTCAGCTAGTACACTGCTGGACTTTGTATTTACATCAGGAATGTTTGCAAACACAACAACAAACAGTTTTGTGAGCTGCGGTAAAGATAATTTCTCGCTGACCTTTGCAGGTAACATATGTGATGTTGCCTCCTTTTGAAATGACACAAAAGGAGGCCCCTGATAGACTCCTAACAGATACGTTCAGTGAGTAAGTACAATATAAAAAATGCAAATGAAAACCAGACCTCTTAGCTTTATAGTTATGTTGTTGTTTGTTTGATTGTGTTCAATTATGTTATTATTCATCACCCTCAGCCTTATGTGTAGGCCTCATTCCAGTGCTGTTCTATTATCAGATGCTGCATTAAGTCCTGGTACATGCCTGTGGATTTGAATGATTCAATCCATTGTACAGCTGATAAGAGGAAGAAATACCTGGAAGTATAATTGGGATCAGGTTGTATTGAAATCTATGATGTTTGTTTAAGTCACCAGTAACAAAATGTGTATCAGTGGACTTATACACATAATGATGAGTGTGTGGGCTGCAGACGTAGCAGGTTTCTTGCTTTATGAGGAGACAGTGGCACAACGTTGCCATGACCTCACCGTCTCCTCGCTGACAGCTCCAACCCCCCTCCTCCGTCCTCATATCAGCTGTGTGGCACATGCAAACCCTCCTTCGCTGGTCATCTCTTCCTCTGCCGCCTCCAGCTCCATCCACTCGTCCAACTCCTGTGGAAAAACAAAGAAAAGAAAGAAAACGCCTTCGTGGCCTCGTCCAGCCTCTCCTCATGAGTGGGCAGCAATAACAATCAGGTTTGATAACGAATCAATGTAACAATCAAGAGGGCAATTGTTTTGAAGTCTTGATTATAAGCATATAAAAAAATTAAATAGCAAATACTGTGTGATAAGCAGCATATAAAGTTAATGAATTATCAATAGTGTATATAAGAAAAAAAAAACAAAAAAACGCTGTCATCATCATCACCTCATGTTACGAAGGAGTTGTAGCTGAAGCTCTAGAAGCTATGACATGGACCTGGAGTTGAGGATTTTTTTTTAATCAAAAAAATCCAAGAACAAAATCTTCAGGCTTAACATGTGATTCATACAAATGAATAAAGTCTTTATTCTAAGACAGATTTATTCACGTGTTTGTTCATATGTCATTATATATGATTGCAGTTGTGTATTACACATTATTTAAAGCAGGGGTGTCAAACTCTGGTCCTCAAGGGCCGTAATCCTCCATGTTTTAGATGTGTCCCTCTTCCAACACACCTGATTCAAATGATCAGCTCATCATCAAGCTCTGCAGAAGCATGATAACGATCCTGATCATTTGAATCAGGTGTGTTGGAAGAAGGAAACATCTACAACATGCAGGATTGAGGACCAGGATTCGACACCCCTGATTTAAAGTGTTAAACTCGTAGACTGTACGTAAAAGATGTTGAAATAAAACTGCATTTCTTCTAACAACCAGCAGGGGGAGTGTGTGACTCCTCTGGTTGCAAAAAGGAAGTCTAATTGTACAGAGTTCTCACTTGATTTGCTACCTCAGTAAATATTTTCCTCATTACTTTATGGTCTCAATCGCTAGTTCCCACACTTTCTATTTTCAGTATGTTGTGCCAATTATGGTCCTGTTTAGAGGAAATAGAAGATAAAGTAGCATACTGTATGAGTGCGCCAAGTGTCCTGGAGTTCTCAATGAAATCCAGCTCACACATCTGGTTTCCAAAAACCATGATGATGATGATGATGATGATGATGATGGCCGAATCCCAAAGTTAAGGTTTCAAAACAGAACTCCAACCAATGGATGACACTGTGGTTACTACGTACATCATTATGTCTATGGAGGTAAAACCACGAGTGCTGGCAAACTAACTGCTGCCCAGTGGGACGAGCACTATGCTGGTTATTGTCGTTTTATTTTTCCTGAAATTGTGCACATTTCCTTTCAACCATGTTTTTGATAGTTGACATAAGATCTCTGAGTTTTCTAACCGAACATTTGGGTGCTCAGTTGGAAACAGGAGAATGAGTTTCAATCATTTACTTCAGATTTAAAACAAGTTAAAATGATTCAATTGAAATGATGTTTAAAAAAAAAAAAATCAATCAATCAATGATTCACACATGCAGCACTGCTACTTATTTAATAGTGAGAATATAAAAAAATGTGTGTCTGATTTTTTTCATATTTATTTTCAGTATTTATTCATGTTAAATATTAAACATAGAAAGGAAAGGACTAATACTAATAACTGCAAAATACTTTAAATTAAAATTTGTCATTTTAACCTCTTAAGACCCGAGCTGTTGTTTGATATGCATTTTTTAAATTGTCTTTCCTATTTAATCTGATCAAATAACAAAGACAATAAAAATAATAATAAAATATATATGTATATATATATATATAGAAAATAAAATAAAAAATAGTAAATAGTAAATAATAAAATAGTAATAATGAAAAAATAATAATAATATTAATAATAAAAGTAATATAACACAAAATGTGATGTCCATGTGAACGCCAGGTCTTAACAATTGAATGTTGTGCTTAGCAGACCTCTTACTCGCCACAATTAAATGTATTTTTGATGTCACCCATTCTTCCCTTGCTCCATTGTGTCATGTTCTTTTTGTTTGTCTCTCCTCATTCTTTCACATATAAACACACACCGGACTCTCACATACCACTCACATGCTGTAACTACTATTGTCGCTGCACTTAACCTGAGTCATTGTCTTTGGTATTTGATTTGTAAAGTTCATTGTCCATTAAAACTGTAATTTACTGGATGCTATACTGCACACTGTTTCCAAGTTTCTACAATATTCTCCCCATGATGGTCTGAATGCCAATTAAAACATATTTGCACTCTGATTCAAAACCAAAAAAAAACACCTAATATGGTTAAAAAAATTAAAATCCCACTCAATTCAAAGTCATTAAATACCAGGAGAATATACATGCCTGCATCTCTTCAATCCCAAAACAATGACGGTGGAAAAATATTACTCAGAGCTGCTTTATGCGCTCTTCCTGCTCTGCTTGGGGCTCTGACAGCGTGAATAAGGTCGCTGCAGGAATGCGGTGGTGGTGGTGGTGGTGGTGGTGGTGGTGGTGGGGGGGCAGGTGGAGTCTGACTGTGTTGTGTAACAACAGGCCTGTACACAGAGGAAGGAGGGGCCGTGGTGATGTCAGACACAGGGGGTGTATAAGTACTCCATGCTGGCAGGGACTTGAACACAAAGCACCTGTTGCTGCTCTCCAGACTCAACACACAGAAGCTCTGGGACTCCGTTCATCTGTCTGCTGCTGCTTTTTTACAACTCAGAACTTCACCCAAGCTCCATGATGATGGCTTCTTCTATGTGCAGGATTCTCACTGTTCTCATCGTCTGCATGGCTCTGCAAGAGAGTGAGTAACTTTTCTTCTGTTTCATGGATATCTATAGAGCTTCTATAATACTTGCAGCTATTTATTATTACTTTTTTGTGGGGAAGATGACATACCAGTTAACTTTTATGATGACTTCTATCTGGGTATTTATGCAAAAAAAAAACAACATCTTTCTTGCCCTGAATAAAGATTCTGGTTATTGTCACAAAACAGCTACAGTGCAGATCAATTTAGTTAAAGAACCGTGATGCTGGTGTGCTGCAGGCTGTGTTATTCCGTCCTGCAGCATTTGACCTTCTGCCAGTTTAGTCTTTTATTGAAGAGTTTCCCTTGAGAAGCAACACACCTTTTATACCTTGATTTATAACGTAATAAAAACCTCCCACAATCGATCACCTGCGCTCTCGCTTAACCGCACTTTTGGGTGTTATCCCGCCAAGTGGTTTGTTTTTATTTGCACGTGATAATCATTACCTGCACAATCAAGCTGCGAAGGCTTAGCTCGCTCGTTTTAATCTCCGGGATCCTTTGTTGTTTTGTTAGGTTGTGGACTTCCCTTATCAGATCGGTCGGAGCTGCCAGCTCAGGCTCCACATCCACACCGCGTCAGGACCAAGCGCTGCTCCTGTAACAGCTGGGATGATAAAGAGTGCATCTACTTCTGCCACCTGGATATTATCTGGGTCAACACGCCAAGGTGAGGAATACTTTAGATGTTTGTGAAAAGACCAGAAAGCTGAGTAGAAGCCCTGACTCTGAGGGTACTCAGGTATGGCTACTAAACTAACCCAATCTCCTAATGAGTTTACTTTTTGTTTCACAGTAAACTCCTTCCTTATGGCCTGGGAAATCCCCCGTCTCGCCGCCGCCGATCAGCCAACCGATGTGAATGCCTCGACTCAACCGACAAAACCTGCCGTGGCTTCTGCCGTCAAAGGTGAGCGCTCCTCCCTGCATGTCCCGTCTTCCTCCATCTACCCAGACCTACAGCAAAGCCAGCGTTTCCCCTCACGTAGACCAGATAGTATCAGAGTAGCTTCTGTCTCCTTCCAGTGTCAGTCCTGAACAGTCTGCTGCTGCTGAGGACGAGTCAGAGACAAGGCGACATGATTCAATCTGTGATAATTGTCCTGCAGCATGAGGGCAGCAATCATAGTGATGAGGAAGGCCCGCATATCTGTCAAAGGCCTTGAAAGAAATCACAAAAGGTTTATTAGCAGCGCTGCTATTTTTGGAAAGTTTACATTTCTTCTGGTGCTCAAGGAATGCATGTTGCGTCTTTGACTCATTGTGGTTCATGAAGCCACCAGTATGAATTAGTCACCATCTCTTCCAAAGAGGTGTTTTGTAAGACACACCCTGCATTCTTATCTAAAGCAAATAAAACTGTATCAGGTTTTAATTCCATGGAAATTGCTCTGTTGATCCTGAATTAATTGGGCCTCAGATAGCATAAAAATGCCAGCGATTGTAAGGACTGGTTGTATTAATGCTGTTGTTTTATCTGTCCACAGCTCAGAGGATCCCACGATTGACACCGTGGACCCTTCGGTTCAACCTGCAAGAACAAGCAGCAAAACATTGTTGGCATCCTTCAGGTAAATGAAGAAGAAACTGAGATCAACCTTTGAATCCACACTTTGCTGTTTTTGATGGTTATTTCTGGGACACATGATGCATCTCTGACTGGGTTTCTTTTATTGTTCCTGCAGATCTGCTGTCAAAACCAACATGGCAATCATAAAAGGCCTCCTGGGATCAAAGAAGAAGCCACCAAGCTAAAGAGCACAACAAGGCGGTAGAGGACTGAATGAAAACCAGAAGCAGTTCAACCTTCGTGGATTCAATCTCCGTGGACTGGAGGTTCCTCTGGCTGCCTTCAGTTCCGACATCAGACTTTTAAAATGTGTCAAGACTCCTAATGACTTTGGGGATGCAGAGAAGGAAAGATGGAAGGAGACAGTGGATCAACAAAGCAGAGTTTCAGAAGCTAAAGCCCCACAGCAGGAGCAGCCATGTCTCTGAATGTAGAGTGAACTCCCCTCGAACTTTTGAGCTCAAAAACAACCAACATTCCGAAAAATGAAGGACATGGAAGCTGACCGTGGGGTACAATGATCAATTAGTGATTTGATTTCAATGGACGAGATGACTCATATGTACGGACAGTTTACTATCCAGGCTGATCTCTACAGAGGATTATTTGATCGCTCCATCCTCCACAGTCACATCAGTTCTATACTGACTTACCAAGAAGTTGATTCACGATGTCTTAAAAACGACTTTGTCTTTGCTGACTTTTGGTTAATTATTTCTCTGTATCAGAGCTGGAATCTGCTGTCCTGCCTATGTTTTTTTTAGGCCAAATTTGCTTTTTAATTGTCAGGCAGTACTTGAAAATGGCAGCTTGTTCACTCCTGGCACGCAGCGCTGCAGTGAAGTGAAGGTCATCTCTTTGGAATTTATCGAACAAACAATTAGCTTTATGCCGGGTCTATTGTAAGCTCCTTTGCACACACACATATGCAGTATTCTCTCTGTGTTTGCAGAACAAACAAAAACATTACAAGAACAATGTTTTTCGCCTCTGACATATGTTCCCCTAATTTTTTTGGTAATTATCCAATTGGAGACTCATATGATGCACTTCAAAAGCTATTTATCTGTTCCCTGCATTTAAAAAAAAAAAAAATTCTTCTGTGCAATGAAGTTGTTCGCACCATCTGCTCTGTTGTGGACACGTGGAGACATGACCAGTCATTGTGACTCCGAAAATATTCATCCTCAGATATCTAAATGCTGTATATGTTGGATAGTTTACCAGCTTTAAGTTTACTGTCGATGCTGAACGTTAGCAACAATTGTAAATAACTATTAATCTATTTATTTATTCTGTAACTTATTCAGAGATGTATTTATATTTCTATGACTGATCCGCTGAATTTTGGAAAATAAAAAAAACATAAGAGTACGTGTTGTTTACAGAATGTTGATTTTGCTTTCTGACTTATGGCATTTAATCGTCACAGCAAACACTCTACCACCCTATTTAATGGACTATGACACACACACACACACACACACACACACACACACACACACACACACACACACACACAATATCTTTGATGACTATATTCATAAAGGGTTTACTGTTGGTTCACTACAACATACAGCTTTTTATCAGTTTACTCACCTTCAGTAGATGGACATGGGTCGTCCTTGTTAAAGCCCATATTACTGAACTCATCTCAAGCAAAGGAATAAAGAAATTAAGACATTAAGTCATT